GGTGTGCGGAGGCCTTTACAGTACAGGAAAGTTGACTTCAACTGTCATTGAAGCGCAGAGCAAAAAGGGGCAGTAGCTAATCCAGTGAGTTGTTCACTTTCGGTCATATTAAGAGAGAAGCACTTTATATATAGTACATCTGAAAAACTATACTTGTGCTGCTTGCCCCAATGTTGTTATCCAATAACTGATTGTGACAGAGATGCTTGTAAATGAAACAAACACTCTCCAGGCTGAAATGTTTTATTAACTATTGATATGTATGAAACCTAATTCAGCACCAGGAGCTGTCCATTTTATAACCTTATTTTCATATATTTTACACTATTAAGATATTAGCTTAGCATTATCATTAATAATGATTCAATTCAGTTATTTTATTTCAGTTTTCTTAGTGCTTAAACAGCAAGGCGTTTGATTGTATTGTATTACTGGCAGTTTGCTGTCTGATTACACTGCTGTATTAGTGTTGGTCTGAGCTCTCAGCACTGACTTGTCACTCAGCTCAGACAGGTCAGCACAGCTCATCATATGTTGTCGCCTTAACACACACTTTATACAGTCCTCTGTTAATTCTCTCTGCTACCAACAGCTGTGGCTGTAGACCAGCACTCAACAAGGGGGCAGGGTGAGATGAATCCCCTCCAACCCCCGACGCACACACGCACAAACTCCCTCCTTTCCCTTTCTGCACTATACCAGCTGTTGCTTTCTGAAGACCCTGTGCCCCAATTAATTATTCAGTTTTAAAAGGCAGACAACCATACACACTCACAAACACACACACACTCATGCACAGCAGGATGGTCTCTCTTCATACAGTCAGCCCACATGGGCCTGTCATGGGAGATTTATGCTCAGCCCCAAGTATCAGGTCCACTTATAGTCCATGAAACATTTAACCTATATAGTGGCTAACATGTACTCCTCCTAGCATCAATTGTGTCTTGTTTCCAAATGTTATGTGGTATGGGTCAAACAACAACCAATACTTATGAAGTGGGATAGCACTGAATACAAAAACTGAATACTAAGGTCTCACTCCATAAATTATTTTCTTATGCTGATGCTTTTTGGGAACAAGCCTTCCTCAGAGGACAACAAGAATGTCTTCCTTCTTCTGTAGAAGTAATCAGTCCCAGGTATGTATGGGAACCTAGTAATACATCTCTCAAACAGCCTGGAATACAAGCCTTATAAAAAGGATTAAATGGGATGTAAAAAGAACTTGAATCCCAGGGACACTAAAACTCTGTACTGTTCGTGCTTGCCTAACTTGGAACATCTGGTAATTTCATGCTGTCCATCCTACTTTTCCCAAAAACCCACTTTGGTCATCATCTCTGCTGTGTACATTGCACCAAAAATGGATATTGACTCAGCAGAGATCCTACAACTGTGAGTGGGGATGCCTCCCATAACCTCAATGATGCATACTTTAATGTTAACACTGCTAGCATTAGCATTAGCTCATCTGTTGGTTCACACTATTGACAGTACATATAATGGACA